GATAAAGATTGTAATGCGTCGGTATTTAAAAGCGAAAGACCAAAATAATTTGCCAAAAATAGAGGGCATACAGATGTGGTCAGTCTATGTAAGAATTCCATTTTGTCACATTCTGGCCAAAGGAAATTGTTTTGTTCAATGTTGGCATCAGTGTCTCTTTTGTGTCAATAAGTGTATTATGGGGAAATTTCAATGAAAGTTTTCTTGCAGAATATTTTGTCACATTTTTTCATTTACATTTAGGGTCGTGTCGCACAAGAGCGAATTCACATATTTCCAATTTTTGGCGAAGAAAAACTTAACTGCTGTCCTCCTGGCAGATATTTAATACACATTTCTAAGACGATATATTTAGCTTATCAGTATACTACATGTATGTTCTGATTGGTCAAAATGTTGTGGACTGTTTTAACGGCCCACCACATGGAAATTGTACTCATTTTGTGAAGGTAACAGACCATGCAATGCTTTGTGTTATTACAATGTTCTATCTGCACGATAACCCCACTTGAAATGTTGGAAGAAGGCGTAAATAACTGTGGTTAATCACCTGCATTTTATTTAGCACATGATATCTTGTTGTTGGGGAATCGGATATAAAATCCCTCGTGGTTAATTGTGTAGTTAAACGACAGAAACAGTAGAAAGCATGGTCTGTTATCACATGTAGGTACAGAAATGGTTTTAGTAATGGTTTCCAGTGGTTATTTCCTACATATATTAATATAATGTTGTGCGTGCCACTGGAATAACAAGTTTTGTTAGACACTTAGAAATTTGTGTGGATTGTATTCTTACATGTAAGACCCACCCTGAACTTAGCACCTTCCCTTAAATAATCCCCCCTTATAAGATGGGAAGCTTTGGATAATGCTTTTAATTAGAAAGGATTAATTTGGCATGCACTTAACAGATTTATTTACTAATGGTTATTTTGATCCATTGTTCCATTCAGGGTTTCCTTTGTTTTTTTTGGTCATGCAATCTTAAATTGGGTTTTCAAAACGTATCTGGTCTAAGTTGCTTTGGATCCCTGCAGAGAGTATTGTCACAACTGAACTCTTCTAA